TGTCACCCATCACACCTAGATGTCACCCATAAGGCCTAGGTGTCACCCATCACACCTAGGTGTCACCCAACACACCTAGGTGTCTCTCATCACACCTAGGTGTCATCCATCACACCTAGGTGTCACCCATCACACCTAGGTGTCACCCATCACACCTAGGTGTCACCCATCACACCTAGGTGTCACCCATCACACCCAGGTGTCACCCACCATGCCTAAGTGTCACCTGTCACACATAGGTGCCACCCGTCACACCTAAGTGCCAATCATAGCACCTAGCTGTCATCCACAACACCTAGGTGCCACCCACCACACCTAACAGACACCCAGGTACCTGCTGACTGCTAGGTCAGTGTTGTTGGAGATACTAACAGTGTTGCTGTGTTGCTGGAGATACTAACAGTGTTGTGTTGTTGGAGATACTAACAATATTGTGTTGTTGGAGACACTAACAGTGTTTTTGTGTTGTTAGAGATACTAACAATGTTGTTGTGTTGCTGGAGATACTAACAATGTTGTGTTGCTGGAGATACTAACAATGTTGTGTTGCTGGAGATACTAACAGTGTTGTGTTGTTGGAGATACTAACAGTGTTGTGTTGTTGGAGATACTAACAGTGTTGTGTTGTTGGAGATACTAACAGTGTTGTGTTGTTGGAGATACTAACAATGTTGTGTTGTTGGAGATACTAACAGTGTTGTGTTGCTGGAGATACTAACAGTGTTGTGTTGTTGGAGATACTAACAATGTTGTGTTGTTGGAGATACTAACAGTGTTGTGTTGTTGGAGATACTAACAGTGTTGTGTTGTTGGAGATACTAACAATGTTGTGTTGTTGGAGATACTAACAGTGTTTTTGTGTTGTTGGAGATACTAACAGTGTTGTGTTGTTGGAGATACTAACAGTGTTGTGTTACTGGAGATACTAACAGTGTTTTTGTGTTGTTGGAGATACTAACAGTGTAGTGTTGCTGGAGATACTAACAATGTTGTGTTGTTGGAAATACTAACAATGTTGTGTTGTTGGAGATACTAACAGTGTTTTTGCGTTGTTGGAGATACTAACAATGTTGTGTTGTTGGAGATACTAACAATGTTGTGTTGTTGGAGATACTAACAATGTTGTGTTGTTGGAGATACTAACAATGTTGTGTTGTTGGAGATACTAACAGTGTTTTTGCGTTGTTGGAGATACTAACAATGTTGTGTTGTTGGAGATACTAACAATGTTGTGTTGTTGGAGATACTAACAATGTTGTGTTGTTGGAGATACTAACAATGTTGTGTTGTTGGAGATACTAACAGTGTTGTGTTGTTGGAGATACTAACAATGTTGTGTTGCTGGAGATACTAACAATGTTGTGTTGTTGGAGATACTAACAGTGTTGTGTTGTTGGAGATACTAACAGTGTTGTGTTGTTGGAGATACTAACAGTGTTGTGTTGCTGGAGATACTAACAGTGTTTTTGCGTTGTTGGAGATACTAACAGTGTTGTGTTGTTGGAGATACTAACAATGTTGTGTTGTTGGAGATGCTAACAGTGTTGTGTTGCTGGAGATACTAACAATGTTGTGTTGCTGGAGATACTAACAGTGTTTTTGTGTTGTTGGAGATACTAACAGTGTTTTTGTGTTGTTGGAGATACTAACAATGTTGCGTTGTTGGAGATACTAACAGTGTTTTTGTATTGATGGAGATACTAACAATGTTGTGTTGTTGGAGATACTAACAATGTTGTGTTGTTGGAGATACTAACAATGTTGTGTTGCTGGAGATGCTAACAGTGTTGTGTTGCTGGAGATACTAACAGTGTTTTTGTGTTGTTGGAGATACTAACAGTGTAGTGTTTCTGGAGATACTAACAATGTTGTGTTGTTGGAGATACTAACAATGTTGTGTTGTTGGAGATACTAACAGTGTTTTTGCGTTGTTGGAGATACTAACAATGTTGTGTTGCTGGAGATACTAACAGTGTTTTTGTGTTGTTGGAGATACTAACAATGTTGTGTTGCTGGAGATACTAACAATGTTGTGTTGCTGGAGATACTAACAGTGTTTTTGCGTTGTTGGAGATACTAACAATGTTGTGTTGTTGGAGTTACTAACAATGTTGTGTTGCTGGAGATACTAACAATGTTGTGTTGTTGGAGATGCTAACACTGTTATGTTGCTGGAGATACTAACAGTGTTTTTGTGTTGTTGGAGATACTAACAATGTTGTGTTGTTGGAGATACTAACAGTGTTTTTGTATTGCTGGAGATACTAACAATGTTGCGTTGTTGGAGATACTAACAATGTTGTGTTGTTGGAGATACTAACAGTGTTTTTGTGTTGTTGGAGATACTAACAATGTTTTGTTGTTGGAGATACTAACAGTGTTTTTGTATTGCTGGAGATACTAACAATGTTGTGTTGTTGGAGATACTAACAATGTGTGTTGCTGGAGATCCTAACAGTGTTGTGTTGCTGGAGATACTAACAATGTAGTGTTGTTGGAGATACTAACAATGTTGTGTTGCTGGAGATCCTAACAGTGTTGTGTTGCTGGAGATACTAACAGTGTTGTGTTGTTGGAGATACTAACAGTGTTGTGTTGTTGGAGATACTAACAATGTTGTGTTGTTGGAGATACTAACAGTGTTTTGTTGCTGGAGATACTAACAGTGTTGTTGTGTTGTTGGAGATGCTAACAGTGTTGTGTTGTTGGAGATACTAACAATGTTGTGTTGTTGGAGATACTAACAGTGTTGTGTTGCTGGAGATACAAAGAGTGTTGTGTTGTTGGAGATACTAACAGTATTGTGTTGTTGGAGATACTAACAATGTTGTGGTGTTGGAGATACTAACAGTGTTGTGTTGTTGGAGATACTAACAGTGTTGTGTTGCTGGAGATACTAACAGTGTTGTGTTGTTGGAGATACTAACAGTGTTGTGTTGTTGGAGATACTAACAGTGTTGTGTTGTTGGAGATACTAACAGTGTTGTGTTGTTGGAGATACTAACAGTGTTGTTGTGTTGCTGGAGATACTAACAATGTTGTGTTGTTGGAGATACTAACAGTGTTGTGTTGCTGGAGATACTAACAGTGTTTTTGTGTTGTTGGAGATACTAACGGTGTTGTGTTGCTGGAGATACTAACAATGTTGTGTTGTTGGAGATACTAACAGTGTTGTGTTGTTGGAGATACTAACAATGTTGTGTTATTGGAGATACTAACAGTGTTTTTGTCTTGTTGGAGATACTAACAATGTTGTGTTGTTGGAGATACTAACAGTGTTTTTGTGTTGTTGGAGATACTAACAATGTTGTGTTATTGGAGATACTAACAGTGTTTTTGTGTTGTTGGAGATACTAACAATGTTGTGTTGTTGGAGATACTAACAGTGTTGTGTTGTTGGAGATACTAACAGTGTTTTTGTGTTGTTGGAGATACTAACAATGTTGTGTTGCTGGAGATTCTAACAGTGTTTTTGCGTTGTTGGAGATACTAACAATGTTGTGTTGTTGGAGATACTAACAATGTTGTGTTGCTGGAGATACTAACAATGTTGTGTTGTTGGAGATACTAACAATGTTGTGTTGCTGGAGATACTAACAATGTTGTGTTGTTGGAGATGCTAACACTGTTGTGTTGCTGGAGATTCTAACAGTGTTGTGTTGCTGGAGATACTAACAATGTTGTGTTGCTGGAGATACTAACAATGTTGTGTTGTTTGAGATACTAACAGTGTTTTTGTGTTGTTGGAGATACTAACAATGTTGTGTTGTTTGAGATACTAACAATGTTATGTTGTTGGAGATACTAACAATGTTGTGTTGTTGGAGATACTAACAATGTTGTGTTGCTGGAGATACTAACAATGTTGTGTTGTTTGAGATGCTAACAGTGTTTTTGTGTTGCTGGAGATACTAACAATGTTGTGTTGCTGGAGATACTAACAGTATTGTTGTGTTGCTGGAGATACTAACAATGTTGTGTTGCTGGAGATACTAACAATGTTGTGTTGCTGGAGATACTAACAATGTTGTGTTGCTGGAGATACTAACAATGTTGTGTTGCTGGAGATACTAACAATGTTGTGTTGCTGGAGATACTAACAATGTTGTGTTGCTGGAGATGCTAACAATGTTGTGTTGCTGGAGATACTAACAATGTTGTGTTGCTGGAGATACTAACAATGTTGTGTTGTTTGAGATACTAACAGTGTTTTTGTGTTGCTGGAGATACTAACAATGTTGTGTTGCTGGAGATACTAACAGTATTGTTGTGTTGCTGGAGATACTAACAATGTTGTGTTGCTGGAGATACTAACAATGTTGTGTTGCTGGAGATACTAACAATGTTGTGTTGCTGGAGATACTAACATGTTGTGTTGCTGGAGATACTAACAATGTTGTGTTGCTGGAGATACTAACAATGTTGTGTTGCTGGAGATACTAACAATGTTGTGTTGGTGGAGATACTAACAATGTTGTGTTGCTGGAGATACTAACAATGTTGTGTTGCTGGAGATACTAACAATGTTGTGTTGCTGGAGATACTAACAATGTTGTGTTGCTGGAGATGCTAACAATGTTGTGTTACTGGAGATACTAACAATGTTGTGTTGCTGGAGATACTAACAATGTTGTGTTGTTTGAGATACTATCAGTGTTTTTGTGTTGCTGGAGATACTAACAATGTTGTGTTGCTGGAGATACTAACAGTATTGTTGTGTTGCTGGAGATACTAACAATGTTGTGTTGCTGGAAATACTAACAATGTTGTGTTGCTGGAGATACTAACAGTGTTTTTGTGTTGCTGGAGATACTAACAATGTTGTGTTGCTGGAGATACTAACAGTGTTGTTGTGTTGCTGGAGATACTAATAATATTGTGTTGCTGGAGATACTAACAGTGTTGTTGTGTTACTGGAGATACTAACAGTATTGCTGTGTTGCTGGAGATACTAACAATGTTGTGTTGCTGGAGATACTAACAGTGTTGTTGTGTTGCAGGCGAGGTAGCAGAGATGAGACTGGAGCGCAGTGCAGCAGATGCGGAGTCTTCCTCCACGGAGACTGTCAGCGCAGCTGAGACAGGTGATGATCGTCTTCAGTATACCTGTCTAACACACCTGTCTAACACAACTGTCTAACACGCCTTACACAACTAACTCACCTGTCTAAGACCCCTATATAACAACTGTTTAAGGCCTTAGTCTAAAACCTCTCTAATACCCGTTCAAAACAAATGTTTAAAACACACCCTGTTCAACACTCCCGTCTAACACCCTATTCAACACTCCTGTCTAACACCCTGTTCAACACTCCTGTCTAACACCCTGTTCAACATCCTTGAACCTTCAGAAGCACTGTTACACCATCACCTGTACTGTTACACCATCACCTGTACTGTTACACCATCACCTGTACTGTTACACCATCACCTGTACTGTTACACCACCACCTGTACTGTTACACCATCACCTGTACTGTTACACCATCACCTGTACTGTTACACCACCACCTGTACTGTTACACCATCACCTGTACTGTTACATCATCACCTGTACTGTTACACCATCTCTGTACTGTTACACACCACCTGTACTGTTACACCATCACCTGTACTGTTACATCATCACCTGTACTGTTACACCATCACCTGTACTGTTACACCACCACCTGTACTGTTACACCATCACCTGTACTGTTACACCATCACCTGTACTGTTACACCATCACCTGTACTGTTACACCATCACCTGTACTGTTACACCATCACCTGTACTGTTACACCATCACCTGTACTGTTACACACCCACCTGTACTGTTACACATCACCTGTACTGTTACACCATCACCTGTACTGTTACACCATCACCTGTACTGTTACACCATCACCTGTACTGTTACACCATCACCTGTACTGTTACACCATCACCTGTACTGTTACACCATCACCTGTACTGTTACACCACCACTGTACTGTTACACCATCACCTGTACTGTTACACCATCACCTGTACTGTTACACCATCACCTGTACTGTTACACCATCACCTGTACTGTTACACCATCACCTGTACTGTTACACCATCACCTGTACTGTTACACCACCACCTGTACTGTTACACCATCACCTGTACTGTTACACCATCACCTGTACTGTTACACCATCACCTGTACTGTTACACCATCACCTGTACTGTTACACCATCACTGTACTGTTTACACCATCACCTGTACTGTTACACCATCACCTGTACTGTTACACCATCACCTGTACTGTTACACCACCACCTGTACTGTTACACCACCACCTGTACTGTTACACCATCACCTGTACTGTTACACCATCACCTGTAATGTTACACCATCACCTGTACTGTTACACCATCACCTGTACTGTTACACCATCACCTGTACTGTTACACCACCACCTGTACTGTTACACCATCACCTGTACTGTTACACCATCACTGTACTGTTACACCACCATCTGTACTGTTACACCATCACCTGTACTGTTACACCATCACCTGTACTGTTACACCATCACCTGTACTGTTACACCATCACCTGTACTGTTACACCATCACCTGTACTGTTACACCATCACCTGTAACTGTTACACCATCACCTGTACTGTTACACCATCACCTGTACTGTTACACCATCACCTGTACTGTTACACCATCACCTGTACTGTTACACCATCACCTGTACTGTTACACCATCACCTGTACTGTTACACCATCACCTGTACTGTTACAACCATCACCTGTACTGTTACACCATCACCTGTACTGTTACACCATCACTGTACTGTTACACCATCACCTGTACTGTTACACCATCATCCTGTACTGTTACACCATCACCTGTACTGTTACACCACCACCTGTACTGTTACCCATCACCTGTACTGTTCACACATCACCTGTACTGTTACAACCATCACTGTACTGTTACACCACCACCTGTACTGTTACACCATCACCTGTACTGTTACACCACCACCTGTACTGTTACACCATCACCTGTACTGTTACACTATCACCTGTACTGTTACACCACCACTGTACTGTTACACCATCACTGTACTGTTACACCACCACCATGTACTGTTACACCATCACCTGTACTGTTACACACCACCTGTACTGTTAACACCACACTGTACTGTTACACTATCACCTGTACTGTTACCCATCACCTGTACTGTTACACCATCACCTGTACTGTTACACCATCACCTGTACTGTTACACCATCACCTGTACTGTTACACCATCACCTGTACTGTTACACCATCACCTGTACTGTTACACCATCACCTGTACCGTTACACCATCACCTGTACTGTTACATCATCACCTGTACTGTTACACCATCACCTGTACTGTTACACCATCACCTGTGCTGTTACACCATCACCTGTACTGTTACACCATCACCTGTAGTGTTACACCATCACCTGTACTTTTACACCATCACCTGTACTGTTACACCATCACCTGTACTGTTACACCATCACCTGTACTGTTACACCATCACCTGTACTGTTACACCATCACCTGTACTGTTACACCATCACCTGTACTGTTACACCATCACCTGTACTGTTACACCATCACCTGTACTGTTACACCATCACCTGTACTGTTACACCATCACCTGTGCTGTTACACCATCACTGTACTGTTACACCATCACCTGTACTGTTACACCATCACCTGTACTGTTACACCATCACCTGTACTGTTACACCATCACCTGTACTGTTACACCATCACCTCCAGTTATTGTACCACACCTCCAGTTATTGTACACACCTCCAGTTATTGTACCACACCTCCAGTTATTGTACCACACCTCCAGTTATTGTACCACACCTCCAGTTTATTGTACCACACTCCAGTTATTGTACCACACCTCCAGTTTATTGTACCACACCTCCAGTTATTGTACACACTTCAAGTTATTGTACCACACCTCCAGTTATTGTACCACACCTCCAGTTATTGTACCACACCTCCGGTTATTGTACCACACCTCCAGTTATTGTACCACACCTCCAGTTATTGTACCACACCTCCAGTTATTGTACCACACCTCCAGTTATTGTACCACACCTCCAGTTATTGTACCACACCTCCAGTTATTGTACACACCTCAGTTATTGTACCACACCTCCTAGTTATTGTACACACTCCAGTTATTGTACCACACCTCCAGATTATTGTACCACACTCCAGTTATTGTACCACACCTCCAGTTATTGTACCACACCTCCAGTTATTGTACACACCTCCAGTTATTGTACCACACCTCCAGTTATTGTACCACACTCCAGTTATTGTACCACACCTCCAGTTATTGTACACACTCCAGTTATTTGTACCACACCTCCAGTTATTGTACCACACCTCCAGTTATTGTACCACACCTCCAGTTATTGTACCACACCTCGTTATTGTACCACACCTCCATTTATTGTACCACACCTCCAGTTATTGTACACACCTCCAGTTATTGTACCACACCTCCAGTTATTGTACCACACCTCCAGTTATTGTACCACACCTCCAGTTATTGTACACACCTCCAGTTATTGTTCCACACCTCCAGTTATTGTACACACCTCCAGTTATTGTACCACACCTCCAGTTATTGTACCACACCTCCAGTTATTGTACACACCTCCAGTTATTGTACCACACCTCCAGTTATTGTACCACACCTCCAGTTATTGTACCACACCTCCAGTTATTGTACACACCTCCAGTTATTGTACCACACCTCCAGTTATTGTACCACACCTCCAGTTATTGTACCATACCTCCAGTTATATGTACCACACCTCCAGTTATTGTACCACACCTCCAGTTATTGTACCACACCTCCAGTTATTTTGTACCACACCTCCAGTTATTGTACCACACCTCCAGTTATTGTACCACACCTCCAGTTATTGTACCACACCTCCAGTTATTGTACCACACCTCCAGTTATTGTACCACACCTCCAGTTATTGTACCACACCTCCAGTTATTGTACACACCTCCAGTTATTGTACCACACCTCCAGTTATTGTACCACACCTCCAGTTATTGTACCACACCTCCAGTTATTGTACCACACCTCCGTTATTGTACCACACCTCCAGTTATTGTACCACACCTCCAGTTATTGTACCACACCTCCAGTTATTGTACCACACCTCCAGTTATTGTACCACACCTCCAGTTATTGTACCACACCTCCAAGTTTGGTAATATTCACGTTTGTTTTTATTTGCCTTAGAAATGCTGTCGGAGGGACCGGGTAAGTGTATATGTTTGTTGTTTTTCTTGTTTCTTGTTTGTAAACAGCAAATAATTTTATTTGTTTGGAGAAATTATACAGTAATAATTGTTAGTTAATAATTTCTGCTGCGTTAATCCGTATTTGATATATTTTTCTGATAATTTGGATTATTGAGAAATTGATAAGATTAGTTTTTATTGGTAATATGTAAAGCAGTAATTTTCCATTTTCCTTTTCAATGTTGTAGGGAAGGGGTCTTCCCGGGGGTCTTCCCAGGGGGTCTTCCCGGAGGTCTTCCCAGGGGGTCTTCCTAGGGGTCTTCCTGGGGGTCTTCCCGGGGGATCTTCCTAGGGGTTTTCCCCTGGGGTCTTCCCGGGGGTCTTCCTAGGGGCCTTCCCCGGGGTCTTCCTAGGGGTCTTTCCGGGGGTCTTCCTAGGGGTCTTCCCGGGGATCTTCCCCGGGGGTCTTCCCCGGGGATCTTCCCGGGTGTCTTCCCAGGAGGTCTTCCTAGGGGTCTTTCCAGGGGAGACTTCCCAGGAGGGTTTTCCCAGGGAGGTGTTACCAGGGAAGGGGTCTTCCCATGCCTCTTTACCCCATGTCTGTCACTGTCACCATCACTATCACTTTTCCATCACCTCACCATTACTACCATATCACCACACTGATGCTATCACCACCAAGCAATGATAAACAAGTCTCTGGTGATGAGTAAGACACATGTACAACAGCTAGGTATCTATATTGTTGAAACGTTTCGCCGACACGGTAGGCTTCGTCAGTCAAATACGGAGGAAAATGTATGGTAGGCAGCAGTAGTTGCGAGGTAACGATAGTAGGTATTTGTATGGAGTGGCGTGAGGTATGGTTATAATACCAGTGCCCAGTTGTGATGGGGAACAGGTCACTAATGGCCTACTTAAGGTGTAGGACTGGGTCAGTGTCCAGTCGTGATGAAGAGCAGGTCAGTAATGACCTACTTGAGGTGTAGGACTGAGTCAGTGGTCCAGTCGTGATGAAGAGTAGGTCAGTAATGACCTACTTGAGGTGTAGGGACTGAGTCAGTGTCCAGTCGTGATGAAGAGTAGGTCAGTAATGACCTACTTGAGGTGTAGGACTGAGTCAGTGTCCAGTCGTGATGAAGAGCAGGTCAGTAATGACCTACTTGAGGTGTAGGACTGGGTCAGTGTCCAGTCGTGATGAAGAGCAGGTCAGTAATGACCTACTTGAGGTGTAGGACTGGGTCAGTGTCCAGTCGTGATGAAGAGTAGGTCAGTAATGACCTACTTGAGGTGTAGGACTGGGTCAGTGTCCAGTCGTGACGAAGAGTAGGTCAGTAATGACCTACTTGAGGTGTAGGACTGGGTCAGTGTCCAGTCGTGATGAAGAGCAGGTCAGTAATGACCTACTTGAGGTGTAGGACTGGGTCAGTGTCCAGTCGTGATGAAGAGTAGGTCAGTATGACCTACTTGAGGTGGAGGACTGGGTCAGTGTCAGTCGTGATGAAGAGTAGGTCACTAATGGCACTACTTGAGGTGTAGGACTGGGTCAGTGTCCAGTCGTGATGAAGAGTAGGTCAGTAATGACCTACTTGAGGTGTAGGACTGGGTCAGTGTCCAGTCGTGATGAAGAGTAGGTCACTAATGGCCTACTTGAGGTGAAGGATTGGGTCAGTATCAGTCATGCTGAACAGGTCCCAACCTTAAAAAAATATCCCGTACCTTCCCCCCAGGTAAACTGTGTGTGATTTTGAAAAACCCCACTGTGTGGGCGAAACTTTGTAAATAAAGGATAACATTAAATCCCTATGGTTTTTTTTTCCCAAACCCAAGGCCCCACTGAGGAACCCGTCAGTTTTGGTTTAAATTTTAATGGTTTTAGGTGCCGTCACCCACCACACCTAAAAGTCCCCCAAACCACCCTAAAAGTCACTCATACCACCTAGGGTCCCCCCAACCAAAACCTAGATGTCACCCACCACACCTAGTTGTAATCATCAAAATAGGTGTCCCCCATCACCCCTAGGGGCACTTACCACCCAAATTTGGCCCCCCATCACACCAAAGGTGCCCCCACCAAACCTAGGATCACCCCACCAACCTAGATGCCCCCCCATCACCCCTAGGTGCCCCCCAACCACATCTAGGTGTCCCCCACCCACACCTATTGTCACCCACCCCCGGGTGTCAACCATAAACCCAAAGGGTCCCCCAATCCACCTAGATGTCCCCCCATAAGCAAAGGTGAAACCCATCACACCTAGGTGTAAACCCAACAAACCTGGGTGCCCTCTATCACACCTGGGTTTTACCCTTCACACCTGGGTGTCCCCCATCACCCTTTAGGTGTAAACCCCATAACCTAGGTGTCACCCTTTCACACCAGGTGTAACCCCACCCCCAAAGGGTTTTAAACCCCACCATCCCTAAGTGTCACCTGGAAAACAAGGTGCCACCCGTCACACCTAAGTGCCAATCTTTAGACCTAGCGGGTCATCCAAAATTTCCCTAGGTCCCCCCCACCACACCAAACCCGGACCCCCCAGGAAAATGCTGACGTTTGGTCAGTGTTGTTGGAGATACAACATGTTTTTTTTGCGGGATTCTAACGGGGTTTTTGTTGGAATACTAAAATTTTTTGTGTTGTTGGAGACACAACAGTTTTTTTTGTGTTTTTTTGGATACTAAAAATGTTTTTGTTTTTGGCTGGAGTTTAAAAAACAAGGGTTTTTTGTTGCGGAGATACTAACAATTTTTGTGTTGCTGGAGAAAATAACGTGTTTTTGGTTGTTGGAGTTTTATTTAACAGTGTTGTGTTTTGGAGATTTATAACAGTTTTGGGTTGTTTTTGGAGAAAAAAAAACGGTTGTTTTGGGTTGGGTTACTAACAATGTTGTGTTTTTGGAAAGATACTCCCAGGGGTTGGGGTTGCTGGAATAAACATGTTGTGTTGGGGGGAGTTATAAACAATATGTGTTGTTGGAGATATTTAACCCATGTTGTTTTGTTGGAGATATTTAACCCAGTGTTTGTTGTTGGAGAACTAACAATGTTGTTTGTTGGAGAAAATAAACATTTGTTTTTGTGTTGTTGGAGATATAACATTGTTTTTTTTTGGGGGATCTAACATGTTGTGTTATGGAGATATTTAACGTGTTTTTTGTGTTGTTGGAGAAACAAAACATTTGTAGTGTTGCTGGAGAACTAAAAATGTTTTTTGTTGGAAATAAAAAACAATGTTGGGGTTTGTTGGAGATAAAAACAGTTTTTTTTTTTCTTTGTTGGAGATACAAAAATTTTTGTGTTGTTGGAGATACAAAACAATTTTGGGTTTTTGGAGATACTAAAATGTTTTTTTGTTGGAGATATAACAATTTTGGGTTTTGGGTTTGGAATATAACAGTTTTTTTTTGCTTTGTTGGAGATACTAAAAATGTTGTGTTTTTGGGAGATACAAAAAATGTTGTGTTTTTTGGGAGATATAAAAATGTTGTTTTGTTGGAATACTAAAAGTTGTGTTGGGGGAGATAAAAAACATGGGGGTTTTTGGGATACTAACAATGTTGTTTTGCGGAGATACTAACAATGTTGTGTTTTTGGGAATTTACTAACAGTGTTGTTTTTTGGGAAAGAAAATAACAGTTTTTTGTGTTTTTGGGAAAACTAAAGTTTTTTTTCGGAGTACTAACAGTGTTTTTGCGTTTTGGAGATAAAAACAGTTTTTGGTTGTTGGAGTACTAACAATTTTTTTGTGTTGTTGGTTTTAAAAAGGTTGTTTTTGCTGGAAAAAACAAGGGTTTGTTTGCTGGGGATAAAAACAGTGTTTTTGTGTTGTTTGGAGAAATAACAGTGTTTTTGGTTTTTGGGAGATTCTAACAAGTTCGTTTTTTGGAGATAAAAAACGTGTTTTTTTATTAAAGGGAAAGTACAAAACCAATGTTGGGGTTGTTAGATACAAAAATTTTTTTGTTTTGGGTTGGAGTTACAAACAATTTTTGTGTTTTGGAGAGTAACAGTGTTGTTTCTGGGGGATACTAACAGGGGTTTTTGTGTTGTTGGGGGATACAAAAAATTGTATGTTTCTGGGGGATATAAAAAAGTTGTGTTTTTGGGTTTTTCTAACAATGTTGTGTTTTTTTGGAGATATTTAACAGTTTTTTTTTTTGCTTTGTTGGAGTTTACTAACAATTTTGGTTGGGGAGATACAAACAGTTTTTTTTGGGGGTTGTTGGAGATACAACAATTTGTTTTTGTGGAGAATTAAAAAATGTTGTTTTTGTGGGGGATATCCCAGTTTTTTTTGCGTTGTTGGAGATCAAAACAATTTTGTGTTGTTGGATTTACAAACCCAATGTTGTGTTCGGGGAAATACAAACAATTTTGTGTTGTTGGAGTTAACATTTTTATTTTTGCGGAGAATAAACATTTTTTTGTGTTTTTTGGAGATATAACAATGTTGTGTTGTTGGGGGAATATAACAGTGTTTTTGTTTTTCTGGGATAAAACAAATGTTGCGTTTTTGGGAAAAATACTAACATGTTTGTGTTTTTGGAGATACTAACTTTTTTTTTGGTTTTGTTGGAGATACTAAAAATTTTTTGTTGTTGGGATACTAACAGTTTTTTTTGTATTGTGGAGATACTAAAAAGTTGTGTTGTTGGAAAATATTTAACAATGTGTGGTGGGGGAGATCCTAACAGTGTTGTGTTGCTGGAGTTATAACAATGTATTGTTTTTTTGGAGAAAACAAACAATGTTGTTTTTGTGGAGATCCTAACATTGTTGGGGTTTCCCGGAGAAAACTAACAGTGTTGTTTTTGTTGGAGATACTAACGTGTTGTTTTTTTGGGAATACTAAAAAAAGTTGTGTTTTTGGAGAACAAAAAAGTTTTTTTGTTGCTGGAGATATAACATTTGTTTTTTTGTTTTGGAGATGCAAAAGTTTTTGTGTTGTTGGAGATACTAACAATGTTGTGTTGTTGGGATACAAACCAGGTTGTGTTTGGGGGAATCCCAAAAAAAGTGTTTGTTTTTTGGAGATATAACAGTTGGGGTTTTTGGGGGTACAAACAATGTTGTGGTTTTGGGAAAGATACTAACATTTTGTTGTGTTTTTTGGGAGATATTTAACTGT